GGGGTAAATATTTTACTGTATTCGCAACTGCATAAGGTCATATGAGCGTTCGGGAAACATTTTCATCTTAAACTTGCGCAACTTGCACACGGGACCTACGAGGTTTTTCATCCTTGTCTGAGAAGACTAGGTGTAGATTCTCCTACCAGAAGATCAGGGGTATGGTTGAAAGATGGCAGTAAGAAGGAGTGAAGGAGTAGCAGTAGAAAAGCTGCAGAAAGAGTAAATAGCCTTGAGGGGGCAACGTGGAGACGAAAGCAGACGACAGAACATTGTTAGGGAGCAGGAGAGGAGGTGAAAGGAGACACTTTTTGAGAAGAAAATGTTTTATCGCTAACCGTATTCGAATACTGGACCTTTGAATGAGAGGCAAACCATCATAACAATGTTCAACTTTGTCAGCCACGGTTTGAGTAAATTTTGATTTTGTGAAGTAAAAACTAGTATGGTCATAATAATGCTCACTTGTCTATCAAAAAGAAACAAAAACAATCGACGTGAAAAAATGGATGCAACAGAAAAACGCCTAACATAATTTGAGCACATAATTTTGTCAGTCAAATAGAGCCGAAATTCTCCAAGGCGGCTAACAATCTCTAGGAGAAAAGTGGTTGTTTTTATAGAAGTAAACATGTTAAACAGTCTCATTATAGTGTAAAAACAAATATAATGAGGAAATGAGAAATGGTTGTTTGTTCTGTTGATTTTTTAACAGAGGAGCCCGTTAAAACAGGTTCGACAATATCATAACACAAATTTCTTTTGAAAAGTGGAAGAATCGATATTATCCACCCACTTTACCCCGCAAAGCACCCAACAAGCGTTTTATTCGCTGCAGACATTATTTTTTACCGTTTGTTCTTTTTAACTTAATGATTTCTTAATGCTCTCACTCCACTGAGCCTCGTCCTACTGAGATGGATATTAGATTCAGAGATCCCTACCCTTGATAATACAGGCATTGAAACTAGAACACATTTTATCACACCAGATAATTATATATATAAACTGTAGAACTTTTCTTGTTCTGCTTCTCCTTCTCTTTCTCCTTCTCCTCCTCCTCCTCCTCCTCCTCCTCCTCCTCCTCCTCCTCCTCCTCCTCCTCCTCCTCCTCTTCCTCCTCCTCCTCCTCCTCCTCCTCCTCCTCCTCCTCCTTCTTCTTCTTCTTCTTCTTCTTCTTCTTCTTCTTCTTCTGCTTCTTCTTCTTCTGCTTCTTCTTCTTCTTCTGCTTCCCCTCCTCCTCTTCCTCCTCCTCTTCCTCCTCCTCCTCCTCCTCCTCCTCCTCCTCCTCCTCCTCCTCCTCCTCCTCCTCCTCCTCCTCCTCTTTCTTCTTCTTCTTCTTTTTCTTTTTCTTCTTTTTCTTCTACAATTGATATAAGCTGCTCCTTTGAGTCCATAGTCATGCGCTCAACATTTGCTGGATAATTGACCCCAACCTTCCGACGTCAGCAGCTGACCTTAGACCTGCCCCTTTTTTCTGACCAGTTCATATTGCCGAAGGTTAGGCCAGAGCGGTTCCATTTTTGGTGCACTCATGCCCCCTACGCTAAAGAAAAGGTGCGGGTTTAGTACAAGGTCAACAGCGCTTCAGCGGGCTATCCTAAGCCCCGCCTCATGGACCACGGTCTGTTGCGTGTCATAAGCACGACAGCGCTGGGGGGCATTTAGACCAATGGTGGCGTTTCACAGTTATTGCAGTGTGTGAATGGGCGGTTTGCTATCTGTTTCAGTGTTGTATACATCAAAGAATAGCGAGGTGCTTTGCTTAACACTGGTCATATCAAAAGAAACTGGAAAAACAAGAAACGTAACCATAGACTGGGAGAAAGTCGAAAAGGAACACCAATTCAAATATCTGGGGGCGACAATCAAAGACAATTGAAAAAGTGAAAGAGAAATAAACCAAAGAATAACAAATGCAAAAATAACGTTCTACCAAAATTAAATATACAAATCAAGTAAATCCAGCAAGTATTTCTCACTTGAAAAAAGAAAATGCTGAAATGCTACATCTTTATAGTCATAGTAACTCAAAACAAAAGTAAAGCTGTTTTTTAAATTTGGCGCTGCCGTAGAATTGCTAGAATAAGTAGCAAATTAAAAAAGACGAACAATCAAGTGTGTCAAAATGTCCACACCAGACAAACGGGGCTGAATAATCTGAAATGTATAAAAGTATAATACTACGGCCACTTAAAACGACACGAAATTATTGTGAAAGTGATGCTTGAAGAAGACAATGAGTAATTAAGATGGACAGCATATAAAACCATGGACTGGCTTGGATAGATCGTGCAACGGCAGCCTGCGAACATTAAGGATGGAAGGTTATTTAAAACTACACGTCAACCTCTGAGTCAGAGATGACACCTCCTGGTATCCAAGTATGGTTATGATTGACAAGTAAGTCGCGACATCAAGACTTAGTGACAAGACGGGACTATTTTCAAGAAGGTCGTGGCTTTTCAGACTCGAGTCCGAATAGCTGCGAGAGGCTATTCGGACTCTCGAGTCTGAATTTGAATCCGAATAGCCTTCCCGTGACTTATCTCCAATGTGCGCGCGTACCGGATGTGAAGCAGACATGCAATTCGGCCTTGGCCTTCCTCGGTTTTTACTATCTGGCCAAGGAACTTACAACAAATGATGACCTAGTGCGAACTGTGGTCTTTTATTTACAAGGGATACTATAATAGTAGGGCCGGGTAGTGGGCAACGGTATGGGAGGGAATATTAGATCAATATGCAAAAACAAAGACCCCCCCCCAAAAAAAAATATGAGGTGAGGGAGGTAGGGCGGGCCTGGGTAAGTAAGATGGAAAGAGAAAAAATAAGAGAAAGAGAGAGAGGAAAAGTGAAAAAAAGAAAGAAGAGAGAGCGAGCGAGCGAGCGAGCGAGCAAGAGAGAGAGAGAGAGAGAGAGAGAGAGAGAGAGAGAGAGAGAGAGAGAGAGTGGAGGTAGGAGGGTTGTCTTATAAGGACTGATTATGAATTTTATATTTTGATCCCTTTGTAGTCGTAAAACGCAGTGTAATAGCCTACCTACCAGTAGTTTAAAGTCCGAATAGCAACGGGAGACTATTTTGACTCGAGTACAG